CGGGAAAGTTGATATTCTCATATCTCATGCCCCGGAATTTCCTCCACCCACTTTCCCAGTAACCGAATCAAAGAGTCTTTCTTAGTGAAATCATATCAGCGAACTGCATTCTCATTTCATTCTGAAGTCGACTCCTTACTTTACATTTTCCACCAGGCCTCTTACGAGTATGTTTCACATGGAAAAGTTGAAGTGTGAGATATCGGATCAATCATAGCTTTGACCTGATCATATTACCCTACAGTTACAGCAATTTTGATAATTAAACTTGGCTTTTCAGACAGAATAAGAAAGAAATAAACAAGATTACTGTTAAAGTGCTATATACCACATTACAAGTTGAAGAATAAAAATTTAACTTTCATCTCAATAGACGTAGAAAAAGTTTTTCCACATACTCTCTAAATCCATCCATGTCAGCATAATCTTTCAGGATTTGAAATAGCTCAACTGGAATTCCATCACCTCCACTAGCTTTGTGTGTAGTGATGCTGATATTCATGGGATCCCAACGAGTTGGACACAACTGAGCAGCTTAACTGAATTGACCTGTCCTGTTTAATTTAATCCAATGTAATCTTAAATTAATCTAATCTGTCCTACCATCAGACATGTGGTATTTTTCACCCTTACTCATTGGCTGAAAGTAGGGTGGGAAAGGTACCGAGAAATATTCAGCCTTAGTTTGAGGAGGGTAGGCGGTGGCTGCTAGTGACCTTCCCATCTTGTCTTTTACCTTGACAACCTTTCTGAGTGAGGTTGGCAGAACCAACTGTCATGTAAACTTAAGTTGCTTGCAACTGTTCAAGAGATCTGCTGTGGAGTGTTTTTCTTCTAGAGGGAGGCTCCAGGGATAGTTTTACTGGCAAAGATGATAAATGTTTGTCCCAACTCATGCTTGCTAAGGTCTAAGCTATTTTCTCACTAAAAGCTAGGTTATTCTGTCCCTGCACTTCCAGAAAAATAGGTGCCCCAACTCAGTTAGTATAATTTCATCAGTGTTTCCAATATCCCCTACTCACACTCAGATCTTTTGTCTAGAAGAGTCAAATGACTGAATGACAAGAACCCTTCAATGAACTTAATCAGAATTGGAAAAGTTCAGTTTTCATTCCAATCCCAAAGAAAGGCAATGCCAAAGAATGCTCAAACTACCACAAAATTGCACTGATCTCACACACTAGCAAAGTAATGCTCAAAATTCTCCAAAAGAGGCTTCAACAGTACATGAACCATTAACTTCCAGATGTTCAAGCTGGATGTAGAAAAGGCAGAGGAACCAGAGATCAAATTGCCAACATCAGTTGGATCATCAAAAAAGCAAGAGAATTACAGAAAAACATATACTTCTGCTTTATTGACTATACCAAAACCTTTGACTCTGTGGATCACAATAAAATGTGGAAAATTCTGAAAGAGATGGGAATACCAGACCACCTGACCTGCCTCCTGAGAAATCTGTATGCAGGTTAGGAAGCAACAGNCAGAAAACTAGGATCATGGCATCTGGTCCCATCACCTCATGGCAAATACACAGGGGAACAGTGGAAACAGTGTCAGACTTTATTTTTTGGGCTCCAAAATCACTGCAGATGGTGATTGCAGCCATGTAATTAAAAGATGTTTGCTCCTTGGAAAAGTTATGACCAACCTAGACAGCATATTAAAAAACAGAGACATTACTTTTCCAACAAAGGTCTGTCTAGTCAATGATATGGTTTTTCCAGTAGTCATGTATGGATGTGAGAGTAGGACTATAAAGAAGGCTGAGTAGCAAAGAATTGATGCTTTTAACTGTGATGTTGGAGAAGACACTTGAGAGTCCCTTGGACTACAAGGAGATCCAACCAGTTCATCCTAAAGGAAATAAGTCCTGAATATTCATTGGAAGGACTGATGTTGAAGCTGAAATTCCAATACTTTGGCCACCTGATGAGAAGAGCTGACTCATTTGAAAAGACCCTGATCCTGGGAAAAATTGGCGGCAGGAGGAAAAGGGGACGACAGAGGATGGGACGTTTGAATGTCATTAGTGACTCAATGGACATGAGTTTGAGTAAACTCAAGGACTTAGTGATGGACAGGGAGGCCTGGTGTGCTGTAGTCCATGGGGTCACAAAGAGGTAGACATGACTGAGCAACTGAACTGAACTGAACTGGACCAGAATTAAGTGCAAATCCATAAGGTCCTCCCTTGTGAAGATGTTGCCACCTGGAAGGTGTGCCAACCAGACTGATTGGGGGATATAGTTAGGGGAAAATGCCATTCCCATGAATAATCTAGATGGAATCTTGGGTTTTCCAAGTAGATGTGTGTATCTCTCCACCCCCAACCCCCTTATTCTGGTTACTACCAGGAAGAAATGAAAGGAGACAATTCCTTTCTGGGAACAGTTGGATTCAATGGCTATATCCTTTAGCTAGGTTCTAGGAGTCAGGAAGAGATGAGAGGGATGAAATCTGACTTTTGCTCAGTAGTTTCCACAATAAATGTTGTCAAATGGCAGTTTCTCTGAAGAGCTGAACACTTGACAGAGATTAGTATCAAAAACCAAAATCATGTAGATGTAACCAAATGATCCTTAACTTGAAATATTGGCAAAATATGTGGAAATGCTGAATAGCATTTTTCAAAAATGGCATGCAGATGGACAAGAGACACATGAAAAGATAACTCAAAATTGTAATCATTGGAGAAATGCAAACCAATGCCACAATGAGATATCAATTCACACTTTTTAGAATGACTATTATAAAAAAGACTACAAATAACAAGTGATGTGGAGAAAAAACAATTGTGAATTATTGGTGGGAATTTAAATGATGTAGCCACTATGGGAAATACTATAAAGTTCATAAATAAATTAAAAATGGAACTACCATATGATCTAGAAATTCCACTTCTTGGTATTTATCTGAAGAAAATTAAAACTCTTATTCAAAAAGATATAAGGGTCCCTATGATTACTACAGCATAATTTACTATGACTAAGATATGACCATATGACTGGATATTCAGAACTTAATGATGAGACTGTTGTTTCTCCAATGTACCTTCTTCCTTCCTTTGTGTGTGCATGCCTGCAGTCTAAGTCACTTCAGTCTCATCCAACTCTTTGTGACTCCATGGACCATAACCCACTAGGCTCCTCTGTCTATGGAATTCTCCAGGCAAGAATACTGGAATGGGCTGTCATGCCCTCCTCCAGGGGAATTTCCCAACCCCAGAATAGAACCTGCATCTCTTCTGTCTCCTGCATTGGCAAGCAGGTCTTTTAGCACTAGTGTTACCTGAGAAGCCCTCCTCCTTCTTTTGTTGTAAACTAATTGCCCATAGATGGGTTCGTTTATTTCTGGGCTCTTTATTCTGTTCCATTGATCTATGTGTTTGTTTTTGTGTCCATAGCACAGTTTTCATTACTGTGCCTTTGAAGTATAGTCTGAAATATGGAAGAGTTATACCTCCAGCTTTGTTCTTTTTCTCAGGATGATTTTGCAATTCTGGGTCTTTTTTGGGTCCATATAAATGTTAAGATTATTTGTCCTAGGTCTGTGAAAAACATGGATATTTTGATTTCATCATTCAATTGCTCAGTCCTGTTCAACTTTTCATCACCCCATGGACTGCAGCATGCCCGGCTTCCCTGTCCTTCACTATCTCTCAGAGTTTGCTCAGACTCATGTCCATTGAGTTGATGATGCCATCCAACCAACTCANGGTGCCATCTGCATATTTGAGGTTATTGATATTTCTCTCAGCAATCTTGATTCCAGTTTGTGCTTCCCCCAGCCCAGAATTTCTCATGATGTACTCTGCATTTAAGTTAAATAAGGAGGGTGACAATATATGGCATTCCTTTCCCTTTTCCAGTCTGTTGTTCCATATCCAGTTCTAACTGTTGCTTCCTGACCTGCATACAGACTTCTCAGGAGGCAGGTCATGTGATCTGGTATTCCCATCTCTTGAAGAATTTTCCACATTTTGTTGTGACCCACACAGTCAAAGGCTTTAGCATATTCAATAAAGCAGATGTCTTTCTGAAATTCCGTTGCTTTTTCTATGATCCAATGGCTGTTGGCAATTTGATCCCTCGTTCCTCTGCTTTTTCTAAATCCAGCTTGTACATATGTAACTTCTCAGTTCACATGCTATTTAAACCTAGCTTGAAGGATATTGAGCATTACATGCTAGCATGTGAAATGAGTGCTATTGTGCAGTAATTTAAACACTCTTTGGCATTGCCCTTCTTTTGGGACTGGAATGAAAACTGACCTATTTTAACAGGGAATCATTGAATCTGGGTATTATGGTCTCTTTCACAATATTAATTATTCTAATCCAGTGAGTTATTTAAGCTTTAAATAGGCTAAAGATTGTTATTCATAAGTGAGTATGATAATACCTAGCTTATGCTGTTTTCAAGATGCAGGCTAATACATTTCACAAACCTGGCTATTGTAAGCAATTAATGTTAGCAATAATTTCTCTGGTTATTGCAAGGCAGTAATGCCTTAACATCTCTAGAGTTTCTTCAATCTGTTTCTAAAAATATACCAGAAGTCCAAGCCTGGTTATTTGAAACTATCAACGTGTGTAGTTTAAGAAATGCATTAAATCGGTTTGTTCCAAATTTCTATTCAGAATTGAAACTTGGAATCCACTACAGAAAAGCTGATTAAGTGATCAAATCTAGGTGCATAGAATGTGCACCAAACTGAATCTCTAAATTTCTAAACAGTGGAAAGGAACATGGAAAATTGAAGTCTCACTTTGTCTTCCTCTGAGGGAATTTTTAAAGGAAATAAACAGAGTCTCCAAATCAAAAGACAAATGAATATGACCATATAAAAGAAATGTATATGTGATCTTACCGTGAGGAGAAAATAGAAGTGAAAATTAGACTAGGATCTTTAGGCAAGTCACAATGAACATTGTAAGTCATGTAAGATAATAATTTTATGTAGAACACAACCATAGAAGAGATGTACAACACACTCCACATTTCTTGATTTATTTTACTTATCAACTCAGGAATGTCACTAATGTTCACTTCATTGAGAAAACCTCAATCTTTTTGATCATGAGCTTAAAAGCATATTTCACTTGTCTGTTTCTCAGTGTATAAATAAAAGGATTTAACATGGGGGCAACAGAAGTACTGAGCAGAGCTATCCCTTTATTTAAAGACACTCTTTGCTTGGCAGAGGGTTTCACATACATGAAGATGCAGCTCCCATAAGAAATGGACACAACCACCATGTGAGAAGAACATGTAGAAAAGGCCTTCCTCCTCTTTTGAGAAGAAGGTATCTTCAGAACAGTCCTAATGATGTTTGTGTAGGAGAGAATCACTAACACCAGAGTAACCAGGAGAGTTAAAATGGCTGAGAGAAGCATCATAATTTCTACTTTATCTGTGTCTGTGCAAGAGAGTTGTAATATAGGAGATACATCACAGAAGAAATGATCTACAGTGTTGGCTGCACAGAAATCAAGCTGGAGACCCACGAGGAGTGGTGGAAAAATTATTATGAAACCAGCCAACCATGAGGCAAAGACCAGTAAGTTGCATGCTCTGCCATTCATGATGGTCATGTAATGCAGGGGTTTGCAGATGGCCACATAGCGGTCATAGGACATGGCAGCCAGAAGAAAAAATTCGGTTGCACCCAAGAGAATAGTAAAAAACAGCTGTGCTGCACAATTGTTATAAGAAATGGTCTTATCACCTGTTGCCATACTGACCAGAAATTTGGGGATGCAGACAGTTGTGAATGAGATTTCTAAAAAAGAGAAATTTCGAAGAAAGAAATACATGGGTGTCTTGAGGTGTGAATCTAGCAGGGTAAGGGTGATGATGATTAGATTCCCAGTGACGCTCAACAAGTAAGTGAAAAAAAGGAGAAAAAAAATAACCACTTGTAATTGTGGATCATTGCTTAGTCCAAGGAGAATAAAAGTTGTTATTCTTGTGTGGTTTCTCATCGCTGATTTCTATTTTTAAAAAAAGAAAGAAAGAAGAATCAAAAAGAAATAATAACCTATAAAAACTTGCTCATATAATCAATACAATATTGTAAAATATAATTAATTAATTAATTAAAAATAATAAAAATATTTGTTCATATAATTTTATTCAAAATTTCACTGAATGCAATCCTTGAGGTTTTTTAATTTTGTTTTCTCAAGTGTCATAAATTCATGCATTCCCAAAGGAAAACACAGTACATTGATAGTCATATAAAAATAGAAAAAAAGAGAAAAAATAGTATTTAACTTGTATTGTCTGTATTTTTTAAAGTTTCCAATCTATTTAGTATACATTAAATTATTTATCTAACTTTCTTCTTCTTTCTTTATTAAAAGAATCATTTATGTTTATACTGATGAAAATACAAAACAATGAAACTATCTTCTTGGGTCACAGATTCTAAAGCTACATAGAGCCTCCAAAGATCTTCAGAAAGCCATTTTCTTAAGAAAGGTTAAGTGTCATTATCTTCATTTTATAGAATGATGATTAATTACACTCTGCCAAACATCTNTTTTGTGTTTATTACAGTTTAAGTAAACTTTATAATTCTGGAAGTCAGATTTCACCTGAGGTAACTGCCTTTAAAAATTAACATAACTTGACCTAAATATCCCTACCCTATATAAAGTGGGAATTACTTCTATCAAACTTCTATAAACTTCAATATTTAAATCCTCATGACCACTTTTAGTTCTGCTTTTCCCATTTTTCCTGAAGATTTGAATTTACTTTCATCTTATTCACTCTGGTTGTGCTCTTTTTTCCAATATTCAGTCAAGCAGATACAAAGTATATCATCCTGCATGGAATGTTATATAGCACACTTTACTAAATATCTGCAGTAATGAGCAGGGTTATAGAATAAACAATAAAAGATTATCTAGACATGCCTGGTGCATCACTGCTCCATGTGTCTCCCCCTTTCTCCATGGGAGCCACTTCTTACTTATTCACCTCTAACCTCATTTCTTTCTGGTTCAATACATGACAATTTGAAACTCTGTTAACCATCTTGTTTTCTTATTTTTTCATCTTCTTCAAGGTTTTATGTCTAGGTCAGGAAGATCTTCTGGAGAAGGAAGTGGCAACCCTCTCCAGTATCCTTCCTGGGGAATCCCATTACAGAGGAGCCTGGCAGGCTACATCCAGTCCATGGAGTCCCAAAGAACTGACACAGCTAAGCAACTAGGCACACACATTACCCTAACCTTAAATTACAACATTCTAAACAAGTATTCTGAACTACTTGACAACATTATTTTCTTCCTAATTCCTCAAATAAATTCTTGCTGGATAAAAGTAAAGTAGTTGTTGTTTTTAAACACTATTACAGTGATAGGGAGGCTTCCCTGGTAGCTCAGCTGGTAGGGCTTCTGTAGCTGCTTTGACGATTTACAGGTACAAGATAAGAGATTCTCTTATAATATTAAAATTAGAAAGTTCTTGAAAGGCTCTAATTCTATTAAATTCAATATTACTGCTTGATAAATAAAAAAATAATTTCCCATGTTCAGTCCAGTGTCATATTCCACGTTATTCACACTGACTCTGTGTACTAAAGGAATATGCATTCACAATTATCTGAGGTAAACAAAACATTCATTTAATAAAGAGCATTTCTGAGATTATGTTTGATGCTGAGAAGGATGTTTATTGAAAGCCAGATTCTAGGAAATGAAAGGTTCAAAGATTTCTTATTACAATAGAACAACTGATTCCTTCAGTGTAAGTTTTAAAGCAGTCAATTTAATGTTTACTTTGTGAAAGAAAAATATTTCTAACTGCATGCCATCATATTTCAACTGAAACAGGGATCGAATATTTCTTCCACTTTCATGCAACAAAGTTATTATAATTAAAACAAAAACAGACTTTTCCCCCAAACCTTAATATCTTTATTAGCAATTTCATTCTTGACTTTCTTCTTTTGACATGAGTTTTAGGATAGAGGCAATTTCTAATGTTGCCTATCCATCATGTTTTTATATTTTGCTTTAACCCATACTTTTATTTTGCATTTTAATGCAAACATTAGCTTCAGTAATACACACTCAAATGTGTAAATTCAAGGATTTTGTCACAGTAAGAAACTCATTAGTTTCATTTCTTCTCATTTTTTTAAGATAGGAAATATTCTCCAATTTATGTTTTATTTAACTTGGAGCATATTTTTCAAGATTAGAGCAAAACAAATAGTTTTTTTTTTCTTTTTTTAAAGTAGTTTAGAGAAAAAAAGAATAAAAGGAGATTTCAGGCTCCTTTTTATTTTGAAATGGTTCTGTCTTACATGGAAAGCCCAGTTGCTTATTTTGTAGTTTTAAGATTATAGGTGTCATCCTTTCTTAAGCAGTATGTCATATGTCTCAAGAGGATTAATTGATTTAAAATATTTATTTTAAAGGAAATTTCTCCCTGGAGAACACTGCACAAGCTGTTAAGACTATATGAAAAATGACTGAATGGAGAATTTATAATCCAGAAGCTCCACATAGAATATGACAAAAACTTTTTTTTGTTTTTGAGGCAGCTCTAAGCTGTAAGAGGGCTTCCCAGGTGGCTCAGATGGTAAAGAATCTACCTGCAGTGTGGAAGACAAGGGTTCAGTCCCTGGGTCGGGAGGATCTCCTGGAGAAGGGAATGGCAACCCACTCCAGTATTCTTGCCTGGAGAATCCCATGGACAGAGGAGCCGGTGGGCTACAGCCCATGGGGTTGCAAACAGTTGGATACGACTGAGAGACTATACTTTCACTTTTCACTTTCATAAGCTGCAAGCCATAGGAATTAAAAAAATAAATGACTAAGTTATCCTACATATCCATGACAAATACACATTAAAAAAAAAAAAAAAAGAAAAGAAAAGTGAAAGGCACCTATCTATTTCCAGTCCAGCAGGAAACATTCTGTATTTAGAAGACCGTGTCTGCTACAACTGTCACTATTCTAATCCAATAAATCATTATCTTCCATCTAGTCTTAATAATAGCCTGTAGAAGACTTATAAATAATCTTTGCTTTCTTCCCTCATCCAATCCATTTTCTACAGAAAAGATAAAAATATGTTCTCTAAAATTTACTTCATATTATCCCATATCTTTGCTAAAATTATGTCTTGAAACCTAATTGAATGGCAAGGTACCAGGGGCCAGCAGAGAATCCTTGGTATAACTTCCTGTCCTCACTTCCTGTCCCGTCTTCATGCTTTTCCACTCTTTTCTTACTATATTTCATTCTCGAGCTCTTTGTCACCTCTCTCCCTATCTCCGCTCTCACTCCATCACCAAACTCCAGACCTCAGGTTATCTTGAGTTGGCCGAAAAGTTCATTCAGATTTTTCCTTAACACCTTAACATTTTCATGGAAAAGCCTGAATGAACTTTTTGGCCAACCCAATATATCTCCATAAAAAAGTCAATTTGCGAGGTAACCATTTGTGAGGAGATGTTTCTCTTCTGATGGATTTTATGTAAAGACTTTTATTATTTATAATTCTGTCAATATTTATTTCTACATATCATTTCTTCACTTTTAAAATCTGGTTCTCCTACAAAATTCCAGTTGCATCATAGCAGAATCTTGTCTATTATATTTTTCATCCATATAATTTTAGGATCTGGAATAACCCTGGTACTAAGTAGTAACTGAATAAATATATGTGATGAATTAAAAATTGAGTTATTTTGATAGGAGAGCTGATGAAGTTTATTCTAAAATTTTGACGAAGATAGAACAGAACAAGAAATAGGCAAATTCACTAAATATGACCAAGCATAGCAACAGGAAACCTGGGCAGTAAGAATGGGGGGAATTTGGAGGCGATGGCACAGGGAACTCTACTCAATGCTTTGTAATGACCCATGCTTCAAAAAAAAAAAAAGTTCACAGGCTGCAACCAAGTGTTCGCATGCTGCAACAAAAATAAAAGATCCCACGCGACACAACTAAGACTTGGTACAGCCAAATAAATAAATAAAATTTTAAAAATATTTTAAAAGTGGTTTAATTGTTGTGTAATGTTTTCAACCTGAAGTATTACTTTAATGAAATAGGTTTTTAAAAAAAATTAAAGATATAACATAAGCAAAGTCCAAAAAGTGAAAAATTCTGGAACTAAGCCTCCTGCTTCAACCCTCACCCATCGTTAACTCTTGTTTTCCGGAGACTTCGAGTGTTAGTTTTTGTCCCCTTTGATATATATTACTATCTCTTAAATAACATTTTCAGTTTAGGCTATTGGATTTCTAGTAGGAAAAATTAGTTATTTATTTTCTTATATCCTTTACTGCTCCCCTGGGTTGGGAACATGCCCTGGAGAAGGAAACGGAAACCCACGCCAGTATTCTTGTTGGCTTCCCCAATGGCTCAGTGGGTAAATAATCTACTTGCAATGCAGGAGACAGAGGAGACTTCCTAGTATTCTTGCCTGGGTAATCCCATGGACAGAGGAGCCTGGCGGGTGACAGTCTATGGGGTTGCAAATAACCTGACACAACTTAGAGACTAAATCACCACCACAAAGTCATTTCTATTAATATTTCTCATTTTTATTATATTTTTCATACTTTTATAATGATCACCAGTTTTATCTTAATTTACACTATTTTGACAATGAAATTATTTTTCAAGCTGAGCAACATCTTTGTCTACAGGCTTTTTCTCTATTTAACAATATTTTGTATCCACAGGGATCAATTTCCATTAAGATATTTGCATAAGTATTTACATACTTTTCAGTATTCCCAACTCAGGCTAGAATCCATAAGTGCAGCTATATCCTCAAAAATAACAAATATATTAGGTAAATTTTCATCTTCATTTTCTCTTTCCTCAGCATCATCTGTTCTGGAACACTTTTTGCTCCCAGCCATGTCAGTATGGATTGTTTCTAGGTTCGATGCACAACTCTTGTATTGAAATGCCTGTTTCCTATATACATGAAGAATACTTTTACCTATCTCCTCCTTCCAAGTGTAGTTAC